CGTAAACGACAGTTAATGTACTCTTCTGGTGTGTACTGTTCTAATATCTGTCAGTCCGTCCCGGTGGCTCAGTTGGCTAGAGCGCCTTGCTTCCGATCCACCCACCCGTGGCAGGGTGGGTTCGAGTCGCTTTTTTAGGGCGCTCGCTATTTGCCCTTGGCAGGTATGGCCTGCGGCCAGTGGCAGCGATCGCGTTAAATATCGGTTGACGTCAGAGGGCAGGACGGACCGTGCCGAACATTGCGGCACGTTAAGTTTTCGCCACTAAATTATACCGTTGCCTGGAATTGCAGGATCGGATGGTGGGGGTCAGGGCTCACACAACAAGCACTGCTTAGCGTGAGCGCTGAACCCAAAAATCCATCCATTCAAGGGGTTCGGATCAAATTTTAAAAAATGTGATGTACGACGTAAGCGCTACCTCTAAAGCGTGAACGACAGCTGATGTACTGTTGTAATGTGTACTGTTCTAATGTGATGAACGACGTAAGCGTAACCTCTAAAGCGTAAACGACAGCTGATGTGATGTTCTAATGTGATGTACGACGTGAACGTTACCTCTAAAGCGTAAACGACAGCTAATGTACTGTTCTAATGTGTACTGTTCTTATGTGATGAACGACGTAGGCGTTACCTCTAAAGCGTAAACGACAGCTGCTACACTGTTCTGAGTCAGGGTGTCATTTATGCGATGTCGCTATCGGAACCCTGGGAAATAACGCTGATATTTGTAATTCCTTACAGAGCGGACGGCATTGAAACCAAGGTTGCGCCAGGACTTCCTGCAGCGTGGAAAACCCGCCACCCCACTGTTCACAAGCATCTTTCTACGGTCGACGCACGGAGCAGCATGCGCGGTTTTCAGCAGCTTGTGCAGAAACCTTCAATGCTGCATGCAACTCGAGACTGAGTTTTGCATTTCTTTAAGGCGCGCATCGATGTTGCCACTGATTGCAGTGGACAAGGTGAACATGAATTTTTTACAGAGACGGAAATACTTGCGAACAAACAGATCAGTTCCATTGTTCGGTTATTCAACACAAGCTCAAGGCCTCACAGCCGCTGGATTATAAATCGCACTTACGACTAAGTCCCCTGCCTTCCGGCACCCTGATGAAAACCGTACACCATGGAATATTGTCCGTGTTTTCAACAACACCATATCTGAACAAAGCGAAACGCAACGTGGTTGCGCTGTAAGTTTTCACAGGGCTAGGGCGACGTCAGCTTCAGCCGTCTAAGTATTTTTTCGACCCACGTTTGCCATTAGGCGATCGGAGCAAATCACCACTAGAGGCATATTGATCTGAAATCCTATTCCCTTGACGTTCCATATGTTACGAATCATACAGCCACCAGGCTGCGACAGCTGTCCGACGGCGTGGTGAAAACGGACTGACCCAATACCTTTAAAAGGCCGCCAACGTGAAACGTTCGCCTTTAAAATGCATATTTTTTCCACAAAAATTGCATTGAATATTAGGTGATTTCGCAAAGGTCTTAAATCTCAAAAGTCACAAAAATGCATGAGATTGTGATAGTTATTTACAAACTTCGTATCCAGCCCAAACGAATATCTATCCGTACCAATTTCGAAACTAGGTGAGCTCAGCGTTGGTCCACGATCACCATCAGCTTGTTTCAGAATGAGACACACTGGGAGCACTGGTGCCATCGAAACCCTTCCATATTTTCATTGGAACGTTTCGACACAACGCCACGCAGCACGTCCCCGCCGCACCAGATGTATCTGGGCTTCGAGTACCTGAGGGGATATGTCGGAAAAAAAATGTAGGTTCGGAGTCTATCACTATTTCGGGGGATGTGGTTCGCAACCAGTTGGGGTCACATTTTTCCTGGCGTTTGAAGGTCTTTGAGTCTGTTTCCGTGGTCTCCCAGCAAAATGAAACAATGGCGACCTGTGGAGGATGAAAAAGTGGTACGCGAGAACGGAACATTGCAAATCAGCCCACTGTTGTCTGGTCACGAAGCCAAACGTAACACCGTCGCAGCTGTGCCAAATGGTATCATTCAACGTCTCGAGCATCATAGATGGCGTGACTTCCTTATTTTACCTGCAACGTGGTGTATGCATAATATGAGTGCATTAAGTTTTAAGCGGCTTACCTTGATGAACATATCTGCGTTGCAATGTGATGTTATACTACGTTGCAGACATCTTACGGACAGTTTTCACGGCATCTATAGGTTTTCCATGATCAAGAAGATAAACGTTTCATTCGGAATACAGAAAAATGCGTAACATAACATAGCAACAGGTGGAACCCTTCTGCCTCTGGTCGGATTGTGCCTGCTAGGTCCTTACTATAAGCAATGGCACAATGGACAGTCGTGCTCGCTGCACTCAGCGACTTCCAGCCCACCAGCGTACGTTTGTGGTGACATACGCGTACTAAGGCACCGCCCATGTGAACATGTGCTCGGCGGGGATTGGATTCATTGCTGACCTCGTTCGCTAGCGGACAATTCGCGACCGCATGGTGGCAATGTCCACCGGGCGAAAGCAGGAGCGATATATCCAAATTTTTATGCTGTTGAAATCAGCGACCTACTTTGAGTTCAAAGGATAAGGCCTAAGTTGTATAACCTGATGCCCTTTTCTTGCTGCCAACTCGGACCAGCGAACAGCTTGAAAAAGTAAATGTGTGTTCAGAGTTGTTATGCTGAATTATCGAGCTTTATGATATAAGGGAACACTGATTTAGCCACGTTGTAGCGCAAACATCGGTTATATTGACAGTACTAGACGTTTCGAGCTGTGCTTAAACTGAAGGTCGATATCTTAGCGTTATAACTCCGAACTCATAATGACGTAAAACCAGCAAATTGATGTCTTTCTTGCCTGTACAAAGTGCAAAAAATGAAAACGCTTGCGCTTACGTTTAACTATGCTTAATCTAGCTTACTCTTGCGTTTTATTCAGCGCTTACTTGGAACAGAAAAGCGCTGAATTATGGCGTCATCGTGCAGTCAATGTCGATTTCTACATCCAGCGAAGATGAAAGACACGTGAGTTCTACCATGGTTTGCTCTACCATTTTGTATCACACTCCCAAAACAGGGCGTTGCAGTAAATATTTTTTCCGTCTCGTGACGGCCACCCCCAGCCGTTTTGTCCTAAGCATTTACGCAGGTTTTTAAAAACCTTCGGAAAGAACGCTGGGATGTAATGCAATATTAATAACACAGCGTCACGGGACAGCGCCGATCCATCCCAAAAGTAACCTTTGTATCGCGATTCTGTTTGTTGCTCTGAACCCAGGGGAGAGTAGCTGGGCAGCAATGCACCCTTGTGCGTCGCAAGCTTGCTGGAGGATCGCTAGGTAAATTGTTGGAGCATCGGATACCGACCAATGGTATCGTGTGCATTTCGCCAAACTCGCTGAAGGAAGCGTGGAACACCAGAGAAATTGTCAGTGCGCAATGAATACACTCAACCAACCATTGCAATAATGCAGCGGGCTCAGGAATGAAAAAGCTTAAAAGAATTATGAAACTCTACGTTCTGTCGTTTCATTGCGGAGGCTTATCAAAATATTTGTTGTCGTACTCCACGGAAAAGCATGCTATTTTAATACCGAGTAAATTACTGAATAGAGAAGTAGCGAAGGTAAACACAGACCATGAAACATGTTTTTTTTTTGGACGCTGCAAATCTTGGAGAACAGCACGGGCCTGACAGCAAAGATCGCTAAAAACAGACATTGAGGTGGCCGCATACTTAGGTTATCTGCCGATTTTCTTGTAACTCAAAGCAAAGCACGGCAAACACAAAGCCGTTGAATATGTTTCAGCTCGAGGATATTGTATTTGTGATGCTCCCCTCAATCCGCTTACCCGTAATGAATACGATTCCCGCCTCGTCGCAGCTCAATTTCGTTTTAAGCTGCTCGGGTAATCAACAGTATATATCGCCGCGCTGGCTGTTGATCACGAAATAATTCCATAAATAATGCGACTGACTCTCAACCCACACGAACTTGCAGGACCCAACAGCGGTAGGTATTGGTTAGTAGGATGCGACCTTTTACCGGTCAAAATTGGTCATAAAGAATAAATTAACACTCATTCCATCCACCCTGTTATTTAAAAAAACTGAGCATGCTAAGACATGGCCGAAGAGGACGTTGAGCTCCTGGCAAACTCCATCAAATGAACTTAGGTGGAAATTGACAGATCACACGACTTCAGAGGGATGCCACCCTAAAAACAGTCTAGAAAGCCTTTTTGGAGGGTACTTCATATGAATAACGGCGTTAGTTTTCACTGAGCAAAATATCTCTAACGTGATCTGGTAAGAAATCATAGATCATGAGCGGTCGAGGTCAGCAAGTTCAAATTTTCACAGCATATGCACAAATATTTAAAACTCAGCGCTCGCAAACTCAATACCTTGCTTAAAACCGTTCACAAGTTATTCCTTAAAAACCTTAGGTGATTGTTAGCCCCAATAGAAGGGCGAGAGTGATGGTGGTTTAGTATTGAGGTCGCGTCAGCGTCGATGCCTTCTGGCTTCCACGCAGAACGAGGACAAAACTCCAAGCATGACATAGGTCAATGCTACTGTTGCGAAAAATAGCGAATGTCTGGCAGAAAGGAAGATGCAGTATGAGTAACGAGGAGGCCCCACAGCTTTTTAGAAATGCGCCACAAACACAGCTCGCCGTTGACATCGATTTTGTTTCAAGCGTCTGGAAGTCTAGGTGGACCCATTCAACCCACTGCTGTAGTTCGGACCCGGAACGGCCCCAATGTGCTGAAACGAGCGCTGACCAGAAAACCAACAGCAAGTGGAAAACACGGGATGAAGGCCCACTGGGGATAATCACGATAGTCTAGTTCGCTAGTGTGGAATTTATTGCTATCCCCAGAGCGGTTCGCGGGCGCTTAGATCCTGTTTGTACTGGGGTGAGATACACCGGCTGTGGGGCAGGCCATCAAGTCTTGCGTAACCATCATTCATGATTTATTTTTCCTTACCTAGCCACACGTATAATATACCCCCACCTTAAACATTCCATTGAAACCAAAGATGACAAAATGACAATTAGCATCTTGTCATTAACACTGTGAACTATCCATATAGGTGACAGTATTTCAATAATACCACCAGCTTTCAGTTTTCCGCGACCCATGCAGAACAAAGAAAGTACTTGCAACAAACCTGGCGTGTCCGGTGCTTTATGGAACACAATGTCGATGCAGAAAGCACGAAACGCAAGACGCTGAGTACACAGAGCACGTCATACCCACATCATGTCAATTGCTCGTGGTAGCCTGCTCAACAGCAAAACATTCGCCAATGCTGTGTAAGGCGCAGGTATCAACAGGCACACGAACAGCAAGATGCATACACATCAAAGCGTTCAAGATTACGCGCCAATGGACTTAAGAACCACCGTTTCAAGGCCGTACCGACAAGGCACAGGCAGACCCATATGCCAGGCTGGTATGATGTCTGCGCGCTGCACCTTCGGCGTGGTGTCGAACCTAACTAGACATTATCACATTTTACCGAACACTCGCCACGGAGACATGGACCTGACCGGTTAGAGTAGACCGCACTGCTGCACCGCTAACGAGAGCGCGGACACGTTCGTGTCCGTTAGCAGCTGTCACCAGTCTGCGTCAGTTCGGCTCATAGCAACAGCCGACACCGTCTCGTTCCCTCTCGAACGCACCCTCCGACGCTGAGGCTGCCATTTGACGCTCACATTACGTTACTGCCCGTGACAACTTTGAGGGCGGGTTTAAGGTCCCTTTGGGTAGACACATTAAACAGGCAAATGTCCCAGGAGAATGCAGGGCACGTCGCCGTCTCAGAAGTCAGTGCTAAGCGTTTACCCACGTCGCGCAGCGAGTCGTCCGGGCAAAGTCTGGAATGCGTAACTTGGTTCAAGACTTCATAGCTAGACTGCCACGCGTCAGTTCTGTTAATATTAGTCAAACACTCACTAGTCCTCCGTCTCAGTTCTGAGGCAGCTCATTTCGGCCTCAGGCCAGCGGCAAGTTCGGGCCTTAGCCCGTGTCAGCGTCATTTCCGGCGCTGTCGCTCCGCCCGCGATCCAGCTTCAGCGGCAGTTTAGTCCGCCCCGCCGTCCAGACTCCAATCGCGCTGTCACCGACGGTGCCGGTCGCGGCGTCGCTCAGGCCGCCCGCGGGCGCTGTCAGCGTTGTGCCCAGTCCAGTGCAGTTGACGGCCGCACCCCGCTCTGACCAACAGCCGCACCCGACTCTCGCCAGCAGCCGCACTCGACTCTCACCAGCAGCCGCACCCGACTCTGACCAGCAGCTGCACCCGACTCCCACCAACAGCCGCACTCGAATCTCAGCAAACGGCGGCGCATCACCCGCACACCTCACCGATGTACTCTGTTTCGCTTTCGCGCGGGCTCCGGCCGAAAACGCACATCCGGCAGAAGAAGAAAGCGGGGAAGCGCCGCTCCGCTTCGATTCATTCCCGTCTGTCGCCACTTTTTGCAACGTCTGAGCCTCTTAGACGCGCTGCTCACTAAGTGCTGCTTATTGTCTTCGAGGCGTGGATGAAGGCCCAAACAAGCATCAACACCAGCGAAAACGAAGACGGCTTCATCCGCCAGCCTGCAGAAGGAAAATCGTGCTTACGAAAATCATCATATCGTGCACAGAATACGGTTAACAAACGAAGCATACACAGTTCCACGACACGCATTGGTTGGCAAAGTTTCTGATCCGGACAAGACGGGAAAGTATTCAAAGGAACTATAGCAAAATATCTGACCTTTTCATGCAATTGGTTTTCCCGTCCCAGATAGAGCATTGCCCGAACACGTCTACAAATGACGCCTGTGCAATTACTGTATGGCAGGGGGGCATAGTATATCTTTGTAAAGAAACAACTGTTATGAGCTTTGTGGTACCTGTCTAAATACATAGGTCACCCCAACTAACTGTCCTGTGCATGAGGGGCAACCCGTGTAAACAATGCGGACTCTCTGAATCATAGCTAATTTACGAAGCGGATATAACCGAAAATATATTGTAACGTCTTGGAATGCACACGACATAGAACATCGACATCATTTCCCTAAAATGCCTGCACAACCGGGACCCAGCACACACAACCACCTGGACACCTGACCCGATGTGAAAACATATTACAGTATCCCGCGTGGACCCAAACCAGCACAGCAAGGTCACCGCGGGGGCGTCCGACTGACCGGAGGAATGTTGGCCGGCGGCGGTGCGCTGGCCGGCCGGCGACTGGCTGGACCGCTGGGCCATCGACAGCCGCCGCACCTTGACCTCCGTGCTGGCGTAGAACACGTTGTAGAGGCCAGCCGTGCACTTGAGCGTCACCTGGTCTCGCCGGAAGTGCTTCTCGCGCAGCAGAAAGTCGAGGCCCAGCGTGACTGTCTGCAGGCCGTCCG